ATGGATATTCTACTTTGAGCTGCCATTGTAGAAGTTGTAGTGTTATTGTTTGGATTTCCACTATAACTATTACTAACACTAACATTCCGATATGTAGCTATTTGACCATTCTTATTATTATAATTGTTATATTTTGTGTAATGTTGAGTAGTTGTATGGGGAGAATTAAGGCTGTTTGTTGGAACCATTTGATTATTGTTAGAATTATTGTTGTTGTTGTTTGAAGCCTTGCCAGTGTAATTATTATACGACTCTTCCATCATCTCTGTCGATGTGGGAAGAGCGTCGTTGGGCCTATTCATAGAGTTTGTGCGTTTTTTATTCCTTTATAATTTTTTATTGAGGATGTTTATTTTACATCCTTAACCGCAAACAAGGCTTTTTTAAAAAGTAACGTTTCTGGTGGGAAACCTCAATCCGTTTCAAATTTAGAAGTCATCTTAATATAGACGAAGAATCAAGTTCATTTTGTTGGTCTTCAATTTGGGTTTGTAACTTTCCACATACATACATTAAGGATTTCATGACCCCATTGCAACCAGCTGGATGAAATTTTCGTGTATTCTTTCTTCTTTGATAATCTTTATGATGAGACATTATTTGGTGTCATTTAAACGTTGGAATTTAGAACTTCAACGTTCTTTTTCTATTTTTATTACAGCTTTAAAATAATTTATTGGTAACAACAACAAGAAGCCATCACTAAACAAAATCATCATCATGAACAGTGATATTTCTCAACAACACAGAGCAAGACTCGAAAATAGTACAAACATTCTTCAACAAAGTCAAAATACTCTCGACGAATGTGATCGAATCCTGAATGAAATTGAAGAACAAGCCATTGCTACCTCAGCCGAAGTAAAATCACAATCACAAAGAATTAAAGATATTAATGCAAAGTGTTATGATATTGATGAAGAATTATCAATTGGTAATAAGATTTTAAAGAGAATGTCTAGTTGGTGGAGAGGATAATGATGTGTACATATTGAGAGGTCTTGAATCCTTATTAATACATGATTCAATTACTCCTTTTTAATCATACCTTATCACCTTATTAAATCTATCCGATTTTACTGAACACTTTGAATAAGAAATTTTAAATCTATTGATACGGAGACACATTCCACCAACTGATGATCATCATTTAAATAAAAATTAAGTTTATTCAATTAGTTAGCTAATCACTATTGGATTTTTTGGGGTCCAAAGATTTTAAAACAATGCATGCTTGCTGCATGTTAATTTGAAACCTATTTTAAAATTCTAAAGAAAAATTCAAAAAAACAAGAACCCAACAGTCATGGATGATAACACCAACTTGACTCAACGAACAATAACGTACAAAATATTGAATGTGGAAGAATTTTTACAACACGCGTGGAAGGAAAAACAGAACAGAGAAGGACAGAAATGAATCCAAGAAATACTTTGAAATAATAAAAAATGCACAGAAAAACAATAAAGCGATAGAGTTTTAAGGAAAGCAAGATACAAGGGACATTAATAAACATTACAATTTATGTTAAGCCAGCAAGATACTGATTACATCTTTAATTTTGCTCTACTGCAATAAAATGCAATTTTGTCTGCATTTCAGTTAAAGGTTATTGGATTCTTCTTAATATTTTAACCTACCTTATCACCATATTGAAACTACAATTTCTTCTGAACATTCCACTGATGATCACGCTTCCAGCCTTTTGATCATCATTTTCAATTTTTGTAAAGAGATATTTGACGAGTTGGAGATGATCAATTGAACTTGAGGATCATCAGTTCACAATGAAAATTGATGAGTTAACCAACAAAATCAGTAGAAAAAAAATGTCATCTCCTTCACAACAACAACAATTACATACAGTTTTAATAACAGGTGGATGTGGTTGTATTGCCCAACACTTAACAAAGGAATTATTATTAAATCATGAAGAATTAAATATTGATAAAATTATTTTACTTGATGTTCAACGTGAATGGACTCCTTTCTGGCATGTTTACAATAATTCTAATACTATTAATAATACTACTACTATTGAATCTAATAATGATGATAATTCTAATAATAATTCTAATTCTAATAATAATATATGGAAATATCCAAGTTTAGAAATTGAAAAGGAAAAGATAAAATTCTATCAAATTGACATGTGTAATGAAAATAAATTAAATGAATTATTTTCGCAATTAATATCAGAATATAAAAATTTAACAACAATATTTCATGTCATGTCAGCAATATTATTATGGTCACCACAAATGACAGATTTGGAAATATTAAATGTACAAATTACAAATCAATTATTAACATTATCATTTAAATATTCTGATTATATTAAAAATTTTATATATACTAGTTCAGGTAATGTTTATTATAAAACATTTTCAGAAAATAAAAATTTTACAAGTGAAGATGAATTTCAAATCATTGAAAAAAATGAAAAATTTGAAATTTTAAATTCAAAAATTAATTTTCCAAATAATACACCATTAAATGTTGAATATAATTATATCATTACAAAAAGAAAAGCACATAAATTAGTAATAGAAAGACCATTTAAAGAAAATCAAAAATTAAATTCACTCGTATTAACACTTTGTATGACTATATATGGTGAAGGTGATCAAAATACTTTAAATTTAATTCAATCAAATAGAACTAATTTAGATATATCTGCAAAAGGTCATTCTTTATATGCAGGTAATGCTGCACATGCTCATATTTTAGCATTTAAACAACTTTTAAATAATCCAAATATGGTAAGAGGAATGACATTTTCAGTACATGAAAATAATTTTGGACAATTATATTTTAAAGCCTTGAGAGGTATTATGAAAAGTTTAACTAAAAATGATGAAAAATATTCAGAAAATAATACTCAAAAAATTCCAATTATATTCATGTATTTAATTTGTTATTTTTTTATTATTTATAATTATATAATTTATTTATTAAATTTAATTTTACCATTTAAATTTATTAAAAAATTATATTTATATCCATTAGTTACTAAATTTGTAATTGATGTTACTTATTTAAATAGATATGATGATTTTGATTTGAAAAATATTGAAAAATATTTAAATTATAAACCAAAATATAAAAGTGAACAAGCCTATGATAGAATTGCACATTATTTAAAATCATTAGAAAAATTAGGTAAAATTAAATTACCAAAAATGTAAATATTTTAAATAATTTAAAAATATTATACTCTATTTAAATTCATTGTACAATATATCCATCATCAAAATAAACAAATAAATTATTATTATTATTATAATCAAATCATACTGCAATAATTTACTATTATTATCATCAAACCGTTCATTAATGAATTTCAAACTTTCCCAATAAAGTTATTGAAACTTTAAATAGTCCGTTATAATCATCATACTCATTAATAATACTACATGTCACTAATCAAAAGAAGAAGAATAAAAAAACAAATAAAAACATCATCATCATCAATTAATAACAAATCAAATGGGTAATGCTTTTGTTGTTAGATCAAGAACACTCTCATCAGAAAGAGAAAATTACTACGGAGACGAAGTATATGAACCTAACAATAATAACAATAATAATTCAACAAATAATAATAATAACAATTCAACGAAGAATAAGAATAGACAACGTATAGCAAATAATCAACCAACATCATCAACTCCATCATCTCCAACAACTAAACAATCATCAAATAATAATAATACAAAATACTAATACTAACAATAATGAAGTAAATAATAGTAAAAATGTTAATAATAATAATCAACAATCATCCCTAGATTCTAATAATGTTTCTAATAATAATAATAATAATAATAACAATACAATAACATCATCAACAATCACAACATCAATACCAATACAAACACAAAATTCCATAGAAAGATCATCCTCTACAATAACCACTACTAGTACAACAACAACAACAACAACAACTCTGTTATTACATCATCAACACAACAACATTTACAATTATTACAACAAGTAGATGAAATGTATAAAGAAATTGAAGCCTTTTCACAAGTTTCACCAGAATATAAAATTGGAATTTATAATTTATATAAAAAGATTAAAAAAAGATATCAATCTAATAATAGTATTGCAACACCCAATGAAATATCTTTGAAAAAACATTCCATTAGAATTGGTTCACCTTTACATTTTTATAAATATTTTAATGTACAATTAAAATTTGTAAAGGAAATGATTTATCAAGAATATTTAAATGATTTGGAAAATAATTTAACAAATATGGAAAATAATGAAGAAGAAGAAATTCCAAGTATGGAAGAATATTTTTCACAAATTCCATCTAATGAAATTAAATTTAAAAAACCTTTAAAAGTAAAATTAATAATTTCAGATTTAAATCAACCTAAATTAGCAAGTAAAATGGCAAGTACAGTAAATTCATTTGTAAATGTATTTTCCCAATTTGGATGGGTACATACTGCATTTAGTATTTCTAATTTAAAATTTGATTGGGTTAAAAGTGAATATTGTGAAACAGGTGATGTTAAAGGTACTTCATGTTTATTAGCAATTACTGTTAAGGAAATTGAATATTTAAATGAATTAGAAAATTGTTTAAAAATAGTATGTTTTTTTTTAATTTAATTTTTAATTTTTAATATATTTTAATTAATTTATTTTTTATAATTTCATAACTTTAATTAATTATTTATTAAAATATAATTAAAATATAATTAAATAATTAAATAATTAATTAAATAATAATTAATTAATTAAATAATAATTAAATATAGTTAAGTGAAGAAGTATCAAAATGGAATAGAGAATATTCATATGGAAGTGTAACTAATGATAAAAAATTACATTCTAAAAAAGTAGCAAATTGTCAAGACTTTACAATTTACATGTTACAACAAATTGGAGTTAAAGATTTAAAATTTGAAAATACAAGTATTGGAGATTATTTAGAATCAGTATTTAATAAAGGATTAATAGATATAGTATTTACTACAAATAAGGAATTTAGAGATAAATATAATTTACTATTTAAAGAAAATAATATAAATAGAATAATTGATAAAAAACATACATTTCCTACACATAAAGATTTAGATTTATTTGTACATGATTTTTTTAAAGTAGATTCAACATTTGAATCAACAGAAGAATGTCAATTATTAAAAGCCTTTGATAGAGGTTTTTGGTTAAAATATAGAAAATCATGTCAAACGTCATCTTCATTTGATGATACTATTAGAAATGAACCTTTACATTTAGAAAATGAACATACTCATCATTTGGAAATTAATTGTCCATTTGGTGATCCAC